TACAGAACATGGCTGCCCTCAGACAGTCTCTGCTCTTTTTTTTGGTGGTACCGGACATTGAACTCATGACTTCACTCTTGCAAGGCAGGCACTATGCCACTGAGCCCTGGCCCTCTTTTTCCTGTTGAACAGTTTCTGCCCATTTTGTAATACCTATTGTACATTTTGGATCTTATTTACTCTTTCAGCTTCTCACACTAGAGAGACAATATGATGATAACACATGAGTCTGATTTATTTCACTTACGAGCGTGGTCTCTAGTTGCATCCATTTACCTATAAAAGCCTTGAGTTTATCTTTGTTTACAGCTGAGTAATACTCCATTGAATAAAAATACCACATCTTTTTACTCCCTTCCTTGGTGGATGGGCATTCGGGTTATTTCCAAGATTTAGCTATGACAAATTGTGCTGCTATAAACGTGGGTGCACACATATCACTTTGGTGTGATATGTGATTTGGTGATTCTTTTGGGAAGATACCCAGCAAGGGAACAGCGGGACTGAATGGGACCTGTAGTCTTAGTTTTTTGAGGAATCTGCACACCGATTTTCACAGTCAGTGTACTTTCTGTTGTGCCAGGTTTCCATTAAAAAAGGGAAATCAAGAAAGACAGCAACGTAGGACAAAGTCTCATTCATTCCCTGAGTTTGTTACTTGTGTTGAAAATAGCTGTTCTCAGTTTAAGTTCTTGTTGGTAGGAATTTGAACATTGCTTCTTTTACTTCTCTTTTCTTTAGTTTTGTTTATAAAAATGATGCAAGTACCCAGTAGTGGTGGTTGGATTTTGTGGGTTTGTAGCATTCTTAGGTTTATTTAGCTTTGAAGTTTCCTGGGCTAAGCAGTTTGTGCTAACGAATCCCAGGGTTGACTTGCTCTCTCGTGCGCCCCTGTAGACGCTGTTTGTGTGTGAGCGGCCGGCCCGGATGGAAAACTTCATCCTGTACGAGGAGATCGGCAGAGGCAGCAAGACTGTCGTCTATAAAGGGCGACGGAAGGGGACCATCAACTTTGTGGCCGTTCTTTGTACTGAGAAATGCAAGAGGCCCGAGATAACCAACTGGGTGAGTCAAGTGTGTCCCTCCGTGGGGACAGGGGCCAGAGGTGACGGGGGACAGAGGCTGCTGCAGGTTTTTTGTCCCCTGCCACGGTTTCGGGCAGCAGCGAGTGCCCGCTGTCTGTTCAGCAGTGCCAGCTGAGTAAGTGGTAGGCGGGTCCGGGCAGTCACCCACCGACCCGAGGTGTTGGGTACAAGGGAAACTGCTGGATGTCTGCTTTGACGCTGAAGTGTGACTGTGAAGCTTTCCGAAGGGATGCTGGGCGAGCGCTTAGCTTGGGAGTCGCTTCCGGCCTGTGCCGCTCTCTGGCCTGCGCCGCATGGGCCACACCCAGCTCTGTGGTGGCATCGCTCACGCTCACAGGTGAGTAATAGGCGAGTTCTCAAGACTGTGGGACCCCTGGGGAGCGCAGAGGCCGGGGGCTCTCGATGCTTTCCAGTGACGTCAGGGCAAGGCGCAGATGCTGCGCTTCTGTAAACCCAGCGCTGCGGGAGGCTGAGGCAGGAGGATGACAAATTTGAGCCCCAGGTAGCTTAGTGACTTAGTGAGACCCTGTTTCAAAATAAAAAATTTAAAAAGGGCTGAGGATATAGCTCAGTGCAGAGGCCCTGGGTTCCATCCCTGGCACCTGGAAGCAAGACTGTGACATCTGTAGTAACTGTGAGTGTCACCCTGGTTTCTGTGTCCCTTGGGGCCAGATCACCTCCCTGCTGGTCAGGTCCCCTGAGAGCCGCAGTTCCCTCCCTGGTATCACTAGGGCCCAGGTTCCTGGGCTCATGGATCTCTGCCCTGTTGTCTTGTTGCCCCTGGGAGGTGACGTCTGGTGTCAAGGGCCAGTCTGAGCCTGCAGGTGACCGCCTGCTGCTTTGAGCGCGGCCTCTACCTATGCTCACGTCGGTGACAGCTTTCCGTCCGTCCTGCTGCCTCTCTGTCCCCAAGTCTGGCTCTGGGCTGGGGGTGTACCTCAGTGTGAGGAGCCGGGCTTCAGTAACAGGCCAACAGAACAAAACAGAACAAAACAGAGCAAAACAAACTAGGGCTTTTTGTTTCAGATATGTTTAGGGTAAGCTAGGCTATGATGTTTGGTGGGTTCGGTGTTTTTAAATATATATACATATATTTTGAGACAGGGTCTTGCTATGTTATCCAGACTGGAACTTGAACTCACTATGTTGCCTAGGTTGGCCTCGAATTTACAGCGATCCTCCTGCCTCAGCCTCCCGAGTGCTGGGATCATAGGCATGTGCCACCATGCTCAGCTTAAATTTTTTTTTTGAGACAACTTCTGGCTATGTCACTAAGTTGCCCAGCCTGGCAGCTACATGTTTGATTTATGATATTTTCAACCTGTGATGTGCTTTTTGGGTGTAGCTATGTTGTAAGTCAAGGAGCATCTGTAGTTTCACCATCAACAGCAGCTGTTTCAATGTCTACCTTATGGACGTTTACTAGAAATAATTCTTGTGCAGTTCGTATTCACACGGATGTGTTTTCTGCCCCCTACAGTGGTGGGAATTGAATCCGGGGCCTTGTGCATGCTAAGCATGTCCTCTTACCACAGACCTGCACCTCCAGCCCAAACACATGTTGTGTCACTGTTCATTGTTAGCATTTATAACCATTGTTTCTATTTTTTTTTTTTTCGGTTTTTCTCCGGTACCAGGAACTGAACTCACGACCTTGCACTTGCTAGGCAGGTGCTGTGCCGCTGAGCTGAATCCCCAGCCCAACCATTGTTTCTAATATCTGTAAATACATTTTCTTATCCATTCACCAGTTACATATTTAGGTAGTTCTTACATAGACACACAGGTTTAAGAAAAAGTACACTGCTTTTGAGAGTGCATGCTGTATGTTGTTGCAGGTCCGTCTCACCCACGAAATTAAACACAAGAATATCGTAACTTTTCACGAATGGTATGAGACCAGCAACCACCTTTGGATGGTCGTGGAGCTCTGCACAGGTGAGAGTGTGGCAGGCGGTGTGGGGAAATACAGGACAGGGGTGGCGAACCTATGGCACGGGAGCTCCCTTGGGCACAGAGAGCCCTCTCATTGGCACACGTGCCATGTCACCCCCACGGCTGAGCATTGGGTAGCAGCTGCTCTAAACTAAAATCTCAGCATTTAGGTTTCATTATTGTAGCACTTTGGGGTAAATAAATGGGTTTTGGGTTGCAGTTTGGGCACTTGGTGTCTAAAGCTTCGACATCACCATTGTGGGGTGTAGACCTTCCTTTTCTTTTTGTCACAACTGTAAATAGTGTCGACATTCACTGTGTTGACTTCAGAGACTGTTGCTTTTTAAGTATTGGAGAGAGGTAAAATCGGGTGTTTTGTAAAAGGAAGAATTACATAAAATTCAATCTGGGTGGGCTTCGGTGTGGTATTAAAATGTAACAATTTAGGAAATATTTTAATGTGATTAATTTGTCAAATAAGTCTCCCCATAAATAAAAAGAAACATTTTAGGCTAACTAGCTGTTACTTAGCTAGTAAATGTATAAAACAATTTTTGTTTCTGTGTAAAGGATATTTGTGCTTTATAAAAGCTTAATTTGCAAATGGACAAAGGTGAAGCAACAAATCACCACCTCTCATTAAGCAGGAATCAGAGAGACTGGTCACAGCTGTTGCTTCACACAGTTTTCTAGGACCGTGTGCAGGGAGGAAGGTGACCAGATCCCTAGGTAATATCTGGGTTTTGAGTCTCAACATCTTACAAACTTAACAGAGAAAATAAATGTGTAAGTATCACCCTTGATGCATTTCTGTTTATACATTGAGTAAAAATGAAAGATCCTTAACTATTGATGTGTTTAATTATTTGCTGTATATATTTTACCTGTTGGTATTTAAAATTATAAAACTTGCATTATAAAAAGTTGTTTGGATTCATGACTGGCTTGCATGTTGTCTTTTGAGGGGAGCATGTCTGGGTTCCCCGTACAAACGTGGGCCCTTGTTTGACTTGTGTGACAGCTGTGATTTCTGTTGCTGACCGGGTGGGGGTCCTAACTCTCAGTTATGCCTACCTTTGGACGATTCCTCACCCACTGGAAGAAACAAACGGAACCTTAAATACGCTTTCCTTCCACCGTCACAGTTCTGATAGGACTTCTGCAAGCTGGCTGAGACTAGGCTGCTGTTACCACCTTGACCTTTAAAGTTCTCCCGACCCACTTGGTGGAGTTGGGCCTGCCGTTGGCCTTTCTCTTCCTGGGTGGCGAGCAGGAGGGCTGGGATCGTTTCCTGTGGCGGAGCTGTCGTCCTTGGCAGTGTGCTCTGGTTCTGCACGCACGTCCGTGCGCCTGTGCTTTGCAGACTGTGAGCGAAGTGTACAGTTTGGATTAGGACGTAGCTGTTCTCTTCCTGGGGGGCTGGGATGATTAACCCCTCATCCTGCTCACCCGTTACCACCTTCTGCGTGGAGTGGGAACTGGCTGGTGGTGGGCACAGACCCGGCCCACTGTGCGTGTACACGTGTGTTTCCTGTGCCACGTATTTCTTGTCGGGGCTCCCTGTCCTGACCGCGTTCTGTGCTCGTGTCAGCTGGCGGTGACATGGGTGGGTTCGCGTGTGTGATTTTAACCCACCCTTTACAGGCGGCTCTCTAGAAACAGTGATTGCCCAGGACGAAAACCTCCCAGAAGAGGTCGTGAGAGAATTCGGGGCCGACCTGATCTCCGGGCTGTGTCATCTTCACAGACTCGGCGTTCTCTTTTGCGACGTTTCTCCCGGGAAGGTAATCTGTGAATTGTGGTTCCTTTAACCGCTTGTGTCTCAGAGGTGCTCGTGTGTGTGTTTTTAATATCAGGCAAGTACTCTGCCACTGAGTTACACCCCAGCCCAGCTTGCTTTACGTGAAAGGGAGTGTGTGGTGCTGTGTCGTTTGTAGCTGCCCCACTGACTTCAGGGAGTGGAGTGCCTCCTCTCAGTGGGCTGAGTGTCACTTCTCCCACGTGTACTGTCGGTGAGGGACCCAGCTGCCTGCAGGACTCTGAGCTCTTTATCCTGCTGCGTATTTCTGGGCCTTGTTTCAGTTTGCAAAGTGGGTCCTTGGTGATGTGTGCGTGATTCCTGGTATTACAGATCAATAATGCTTCCATAAGGTTAGTTGCCCCAACCCAGTGTGCTCCTGCGTGTATGTGGTGAAGCCTGCCTGGTCTGCATTGTGTGCACCTGGAATTTGAAGTTGTTAGAATTTTCACAGGTCAAGGCTGACTCTTGACTTCTCTTCCGCCGTGTTGCAAAATGCAAAACGCCCGAACCTCACAGCTGTGCGAAAGTGGTGTGGCTGGCATCTGTCTCTGGCTGTGGTTTGCCTGTGGCTGTAAAGTCATTCGTGGGCTTTGTCAACAGCCAGGACTTTGCGTATTAGAGTAATGTAACTGTGCTCTCGAGCAAGCTCAGACAGAGGGTGGGTTGTGTTCCTGTTGCCGCAGCCATGCCCTTGGTGTAAGTGCTGCTGGTGGCTGGTGTCATGCATGGTGGGTTCAGTGGTTAGGACAGAGGCCACGGGGCTGCCCAGGGTTTGCAGGACATGCAGACTTGCCGCGGCAGAAGCCCTGCAGCAGTGCCTGGTGGACTGTTCTCTGTCAAGTCTGGGGGGATTCTGATGCTCAGAGTTCACAGACATTCTCAGTGTGTACTTGTGACTGGAAGTCGAGGGTTAGTGTCAGACTTCTTTCAAAGACAGAGGAGCCCACCTGACCCATAGTAACTGCCACCACTGTGGTACTTCCTGGTACACTTCAGCAACCAGCAGCTGACGTCTGGTCACAAATCCTCTCGGCATCCTTGGCCCCTGACACCTGTTGGTCGTGGCTGGGAGCCTTTCTCCTGTAAGTGCAGTTCATCCTGAGGATGTTCACCCCATCCTCAGTAGTGTTTACCCCATTTTTATAAAACATCCAGAGGGTCTCAGGTCAGGAAACTCCCTGTCCTCTCCAGGCCTGGCATAGAGAAGCCAGGCCGCTCTGCCTCAGGACAGCCGTGGTCCATGGCATTCTGCTCTCGGACAAGCGCTGGCCCAGCGACTGGGTCTCAGTCCGCTCTGGGCTGTCACTGAGGGTGGCGCAGCTTGTGCTGTCCAGTCACCCTGAGGCGTCTGAGTACGTGGCTCCGGGAGAAAGTGGTGTCGGGTTTGCCTCCTACCTCTCCTGTGTGCCGTGAGCCCGCGTGGCTGCGTCCCCCATGCCGTGCGAGCGGTTGTCACGCTGTGTCGTTGAGGAGTGCTGACCAGGGAGCACTCGTTCAGGACAGGCGGTGTCGTCTGTGTGTGACCGCCGTTGGCTGAGTGGATGCAGAGCCCGGGTGCAGAGAGGCTGATGACTGCACATTGCTTTTCTCTCTCCTGAACCTGAGGTCTCCCCCGTGCTGCTTGGATTGGATAGTTGTTGATTCTCTTAGTGAAATGTTATTTTTCATTTGCTTTTTTTGTTTGTTTTGAGACAGGGTCTCGCTGTATGCCCAGGCTGGTCTGGAACTCAGGGAGCACCTCTTGCCTCAGCCTGCTGAGTGCTGAGATGACAGGCATGTGCTGCCATGCCTGGCTCCATTTGCTTCTCTTTGGAAGAAGTTGTAGACCCGCCCTTCAGAGGCTTTTAAAGGATGTGGCAGAGCACCTGGATAGATGTGTGAACGTCAGGCTTGTCTCTGAAAGCGTTTGTGTCTGAATCTTCACAGATACTCCTGGAAGGGCCCGGGACCCTGAAGTTTAGCAATTTTTGCCTGGCGAAAGTGGAAGGTGAGAATCTGGAAGAGTTCTTTGCTTTGGTGGCAGAAGAGGAAGGAGGAGGTGACAGCGGGGAAAGCGTAATGAACATGAAAAACAGAGTCAGAGGTACGTGGACTGGGGGGTGCAGGGTCACGGCCCTGGTCGTGGGCCTCTGCGCTGCGCGTGTTGGAGATGACACTGGCCTTCTGCCTGTCACCCTGACCCCGTCCTGAGTCACGGCGACCGGGAGTCTGGGTACGGGCGTAACTCTGCGCCCACCTCACGGGGCCCATGGCCTGTGCTGCTGGGTTGAGAAGCCTCTACCGTGGCCTGTGGCCTGCCCCTTGCCTCTCACTTCCAGACACTGGTGAGGACACTGCCTGGCACTCACTGGAGCAGTGGTGGCGAACCCATGGCATGTGTGCTGCGAGCTCTGAAAGGTTCGACGTCACTGCACTAGGGCTTGGGGGGGGCCCCTTAAACTAAGTAGGGATCTCCTCTGCATGGGCAGGTTTAGCGGTGCCCTCTTGTGGGTGGTTTGGGTATGGGTTGGGGCGGCATGTGAATGTAAATTGTACATGTAAGAACAGTGCTGTTCTTAGGAGGGGCCAGCTGGTGTTCCTTGTGCCTTTGGCAAAAGCAGTAAAGACCTTTCCTCCTCGAGTTCCCTGTCGCCCTAGCATGCCAACATAGTTAGGCCAGGGGAGCTGGCGAGCAGCTGTGGAAAGGGCACTGCCAGCGAGGGCAGCACCCTTGGGCTTGGCAGCTGTGTGCCCAGGGACAAGAGGGGCGTGGGGGCCAGGATGGGGACTGCAGGGGAGCTGTCTCCCCGTGGGTGTGAAGAAGGAAAGTGAATTTCAGGGCCAGCCTTGTGTATGGTAAGACTTCATGCCTAAGAAGAAAGCTCTGGGGTCCCTAACAGCGTCCTGTAGCTGGGCTGGCGTTCTGCAGGGTGACTGTCCCGGGCTGTGTTAGTGGAGCACTGAGTTCTGAATTACTATGGTGGGATTTTGTGGTGCGCAGTGTGGGGTTTTGTGGCGGGCGGCGCGTCTGATGGGGGCAGAGGCCGCGTTGTGGAGAAGTGGATGGGAAGTGGGCAGCGGAGCGGGTTCAGGCCGCCAGGCGCAGGTGGCTCTGGGCGAGGGTCGACTTCTGCATCGTCCTCGCTGTGCCTTCCCGTCCCCACAGTAGATGGACAGAAGTAAGCCCCTCGCCTCTCTGCAGCCCTCAGGGTTTACAGCGGGAGCGTGGTGCCGGAGGAGGCCGGCGAAGGAGCTGCAGGCTCCTGGTGGGTGCGCGAGGCCCAGGTGTCACTTGGCGAGGTGCCCGGCCGTGGAGCCTGGGACGTGGCGGGGGAGGGGGGCTGACGAGCAGGGAGAGCGAGGGTCCGAGGTCTGTGTGCAGGCAGCACTGCAGGAAAGTTCTGAAAGGGTGCCAGGGTCGGGGATGTAGCTCAGCAGCACAGCCCCTGCCTGGCAAGCACAAGGTCCCAAGTTCAATTTCCGGTACCAAAAAAAAAGGGGGAGTGGGTACCAGGGCTCTGATCTACTTTCACTTCTCACTGTGACTGGAGAGTAGGGTCGCGCACTTTAATTTCTCCCCTGGGTGTGGGGTTGGGCTGGATCGTGGGTCCCAACCTGAGGGACAGGAAGTTCCTCAGTGGAGTAGGTGGCACAGAGTTTCAGAGGCCGGCGTGGGCTGCGTTCCGTGGTGGCCAGGGTGTGCGTGGTTGATGGGAGTGGGCAGTGGGGGTTGCGGTGGGGTGGGCCGCATGTTTAGTGTCTCCTCCGCAGGCCCGAGTTTGGTGTCCGAGTGTGGTTGTCTCTAGTGGCCTCTTGTTCTTTTGGCCATGGGAATGAGCCTCACTGGTGACTCTAGGTGGGGGAAGCCGCCGCTGCTTTGGCCCTGACAGCTTCTCCAGGCTGCACCAGCCCATGGTTGGGGTGGGGATGCCGAGGCAGGCAGGGCTGGCCTCACCAAGCCCTTCTTAGAGGGCACGGCATCTGGGTTGGGGTCCGTCGGGCGTCCTCTGACCAGCTCTCTTCAGCTGTTTCTTGCAGGAGCTTCTTGTGTAAACCCTTGCGTAGCTCTTGCTGTCCCCGTGCCTGCTTCTTGGAAGAACAGGCCACCTTGCACTCCGGGACCCCGGCATTTCTCTCCTTTTGTAGGGCTGGGGTTTGAACTCAGGACCTTAGGCACTCCGGTCCAGTGCTCTTCCTCCAAGCTGCGTACGCGCCCTCGGTGTCTGTCGTAGTTTGCCAGCACACTTGCCTGGCGTGTGCGTGCCGGCGGTTGATCACCGTGTGCGCCTGTTGTGTTGTCTCCCTCTGCTCCTCAGTTCTACTTTCACCTTTCTCCAGGAAGCCTTTTCCCCCTCTGTGTCCGCTGTTGGCTGGATTTCACTGGACTGGATACCTGGGAACTGGTTCTGACTCTGTATCAATCTACCACTGAACTTACCAGGCAATAATTCAGTTTTTTTTTGGTCTTTCCCTGTTTGACTGTGCCTATAAGGGTTTCATATTCCTTTGTTCATTAGAGCCTTTGTGTGTTAATTGCACCGTTTCTTACGAAGAGGTGCTGGGAACTTGGCGGTGAGCAGACAGGCGGGACTCCCTGTCCCTGAGCCCAGGGTCCCGGAGGAGGAGAGATGGGCGCTCGTCTCCAGCACACCCTGCCGTGGCTGCTGTGAGGGGCAGGCAGGAGCCTGGGCGTCCGTGGCCCTCAGGTCCTCATGTGGCCAGCCAGGCCCCCGCGGTGTTTGCTGAGCGAGGGGAGTGGGCAGCGTTGCGTGAGTGTCTGTGGAGGTGCGTGGCTGCTGGTCCGGCTGTCGCGGCCCCGGAGGGTGGGCTTGCCAAGAGGGTCGCTGGTGCAGTTTGTCTCCAGACGCTCGCGGACTGCTCACTGGGTGGAGTGAGGTTCTCCTTGGGGGTGTGGGGTTTGTAGTTAGGGTGGGAAGAAGGACCCTGGTTTTGGTGGGGACAGCAGCCCCCGGGTGTCCACAGGTGTCTCCCTTCCAGCTCTGAAATGTGTGCTTTCTGCATAAGGTGAAGCCCTGTGTGAAGTGTACGTGACGCTCGTGTGTGCTGCCCACCTTGCACACCCCGCTGGCCTGGGTGCCTGGTGTGTGTGGCAGGGTTGTGTCAGCCCCCTGCCACAGCCAGTGACATCGAGAAGTGAGGCGAGTCACTTGGAGGTGCCGCGTGCTGCCTCCCTTCCCGCGCTTTCAAGACGCCCTCTGTGTGCCTGGCCTGACAGGGGCTGCAGGACCGGGCCTTGGGCTCCCTTTTGGTAGACTTGGGGTTTAGTCATAGAAAGATCTTCACTGTTAAGCCAGTGGGATTTCAGGGTTGTTACTGGTGCTTAACTTGTCGCATTTTAATTGTCATAATTTAATGAGAGTTTTCATATGAGTATTTTAATTGTTGAATTTGTATTTATAACTGTGTGTAACTGAGTGTGCCATACTGTTCACTAAGTTGTATTTTAAAAATCTGTACTCATGTATGTATATCCTTTGCAAAATGTAATCTTAATATTAGAAAACATTTAAGAAATGTGAAATGCATGTGTCTCAGTTACTTTTCTTATTGCTGAGGTGAAATGCCTGGCTCCCACAAGTCAAAGGAGGAAGGATTTATTGTAGCTTACAGTTTGTAGAGGGTTCAGTCCATAGTTGGCTGGCTCCAAGGCAGGGTGGCATGGCAGAGGGGTATCACAGAGGAGAAACAGTCCATGCCAGGGCAGGCAGGAGGCAGCAAGCAGGGCACCTTCTGGACTTCTATCCCATCCAGGCTACAAGCGTGTGGGATGGTGTCATCCACACCCAGGAGGGACCTTCCCATTATCCACACCCGGAACTGTGCTAAGCCAATCGGTGGACCTAATCTAGTACCACACACCCTAGATCCAGTCACCTCCAAAAAGCCCCATCTATGAGTGCATGAGGCTTTTGGAGGGGCATTAGAAGTAATCCATAGCAGCATGTGAGGTTTTATTCATATATACGTTTTCCTCTAGTCTTTGTTCATCTCCCCAGGTCTCCCCCAGTAGGTTTGTGGGGTATGAGACAGATGCCTAACCGCTGTTCTTTGCACTTTGATTTTAGGGTCTCCTGTGTATATGGCACCAGAAATCGTGAGGGGCGCTGACTTCTCCGTTACCACTGACCTCTGGTCGTTGGGCTGTCTGCTCTATGAAATGTTTTCAGGTGATTGCCTTCGGCTTCAGTGTAAGGTCAGAGCTAGCTGGAACAAAGAATAATGTCAAAAAGGCTACACCTATAGTTTACAAATATTTAATTTATAAGATGTCAGAAGTCTAGTTTTATTAAATTTTTGTATTTGGCTAAATTGCTTGATGTGGAAGTATATGCAGGTTTGCAAGAGCTTTTTGGTAGTAGGTAATTTTTCATGATACCTGGAATTTTGAAATGTGTGTAATTATTAAAAGTGGGATTACTAATAGAATTCTTCAAAAGGTCCTCATATCTGAATTGTTTGAATGTGTTGAGCAGCCCATGAAGCCTTGAGCTGTGGTAGTGATCATGTGTTGTGAGTGAGTTTGTGTGTCAGATAGGGTAGGAAATTTTGAATTAGAGAAATATAAAAAAAAATAGACAGTATGTGTGTTATACATATTAGGCATCCAGTAATTATTTACTGCTTTTTCCTGTAAACTGTGATTCTGAAATATCAGTAGCTAAGTTTGGACATATTGGTGATAGCACAGCGTATAATTTTGCAAGTTAATGTGATTTCAGGAAAACCTCCATTCTTCTCAGAGAGTGTCCCAGAATTAGCTGAAAAGATTTTACATGCAGATCCGCTGCCTCCTGTTCCAAAGGGTAAGCGTTCCTGTGATAAGTTAATTTACACCTTACGCTGATTGGAATCGTGTTTGACTCAAGATCTGTTTTAATGATTCATAACCTCTAAAAGTTACATTTTATGTTTAGTCCCAAATTGATAGTTTTTTTTCTTGCCATTTTTCTGATAATGAAATTGAAAGCAAAGTACTAATATTTTCTTTCACTTAAAAACATGAATTGTTTTGGGCTTTTGTATCACCGGAAACCTGGTTTAGAGGTTTTAAAAGCTCTAGCTCATATATATTTATATTTATTAACTTACGTTCATTTAATTTGTGTTCATCGTGTGTGGTTATTTCTGTGTGGTGTTTCAAATAGGAAGAAAAGAGGCCTTTCTCAGTACTCGTCTTCATGAGTCAGATTGTTACCCTGAGATCTTTTAAAAACCTTTTAAATTAGACAGTTGTCCTGTTTTCTTCATATAAATTACAGTTAACATAACAGTCTATCATTAACAGTGATTTTAAGGAAAGAAAAGAAACACAAATGACATGGATGTAGGTTAATATTTTACTGTACATTGTTGAGAAGTTAAGACCCCCTAAATGAAAACAGGATTCTATAAAAATTGATGCTTGCTGTGTTTAAAACAAGAAATTTTGAGAAGTAATGAATAGAAGAGACATGCAGACTATTTTCTCTGTTTTTAGAATTACCCATGGTGAAGAAAAACTCGGTATTTTAAAAGTCTGCTTCTTAAAACAAAAGCTGATTTTTTTGCTTTATGTGCTGTATTATTTTCTGCTGTAAGTTAAAGACTTTTACGCAGGGAGGAGAAATTTGAAAATGAAGGTGGTAAGGCCCTGGGTGCCATCTGACCTCTGGCCCAAAAGCAGTCACTTCCCTGGGACCGTCCTGTCCTCCAACTGTGGCCACAGCGCCCCCTGGAGCCGTCGGTGTCCCTTGGCCCCGCTCAGGGTCCTCACTGCTGTCTCAGGTCCTGGTCCTTGTGGCCTCTTCTCTGAAGCCCTGTGAACTGGCCATGGTGGTTAACCCTCTGGCTTACAAAGACAAAGCATCCTGCGATTGATGGAGTTGGCAGTTTGTAAAGCTGCAGTGTTTGTTACTTCCCTGTTAAAAATCTTCAGAGTAAACAGGACACTGCAAGTAATCTCATCATGTGGTGGTATAAAAGCAGAGTTGGCTGGCCATGGCAGTGCACTGCTGTGACCTCAGCACGCTGGGAGGCTGAGGCAGGAAGATCACAGGTTCGAGCCTACCCTGGCCAACTTAGTGGGACCCTGTCTCAAAAAAAGGGAAAAAAAAGAAAAAAACGGGGCCTGGGGGTGTAGCTCAGAGCAAAGGCCCTGTGTTCAATTCCCAGTACCACAAAGGAAAGCGAAAAATTGGTCAAGTTGGGATTCCGCAGAGAACAAGGCAGAGCTGACTGTTGAAGTCAAGGGCTGGGCGGGCTGGGGCTGCTCCTTGCGCAGCTGCTCCTTGCTCGGCTGCTCAGGGAGGACGAGTTGGGAGCTTCGTTTCCTGAGCCATCGAGGGAGCACCCTGTGTCTCTGAGCCTTGTGCCTCACGAATGAGCCGTGCTGCTGTTGCTGCAGCCCGTGTGGGCTCACGGTTCGCACCGTCACCTTCGTCAGGACGCAGGGTGTAGTGGTTGATGCTTCTCACCTCCTTTCTTCTTCTTGGAAATTCATTCACTTGTAGATGCGTCACGTCCGAAGGCATCTTCAGACTTTGTTAATTTGCTTGACGGCTTGCTTCAGAAAGATCCTCAGAAAAGGTACGGGCCGGGGCTGGGGATATAGCTCAGCGGCATAAGTGCTTGCCTGGCAAGGCTGAGGTCATGAGTTTGATTCGTGGTACCAAAAAGAAAGAAAGAAAGGAAAGGTACGGGCTGATTGAGTTTGGATGCGAGCGGCACTGGGATCTTGTTCCCCTCGTGCACTTCTGAAATAGTGCTTCCCAGTGGGCTTGCTAGGAAGGTTCTGTGTGGGGAGGCCGGCAGTGAGGTCTCCTTGGCCTGGGGTCCAGAGCAGGGGCCCCTCCCCTGCCCCTGTCCACCCCTCCTTTTTGGTGCCCCTGCTTTCTGGTCCTCCCCCCTGCCTGAGCCATAAAAGCAAGCAAACAGTGCCCAGCCTAGGTCCCTTGCACTGTGCTCACGCTGAGCCACAGCCCCGTCCCATCCTGGTTGTGCCACTGGAAGGGTGGAGGCGAGGGGGTTTAGACAGGTGTGTGGGGGTCGCTCACTCAGGGTGTGAAATGGGGAATAAATTCCAGGTACAAAATACCCCATTCACATTTATTACACGTATGAAGAAAGCCCTGTGGAGGGAGGAGCTGACTCTGCAGCCGTACATTGCATGAGGTAGGGCTCGTGTTATCTAGGGTAACCTCAGGTGGACAGGATGTAAATACACATATGACTTGTGCTCAGCCCTCTGTGTCCTCCAGATCTGTGTCTACAATTCCACTGATCGCAGATTGAAAATATTCACGAAAGACTGCGTGTATACTAAACAGTCTGGACTGTTTTCCTGCTGTCACTGCCTAGAAAGCATAGCAGCCAGGTGCATAGCACGTCCAGGGTGTTGGGTATTATTAGGAATGTGGAGATGATTGCAGGTATATGAGAGGGTGCATGCAGTAACATACAAATGTGTCACTTCAAGCCAGGTGTGTGTGCACACGTGTCATCCCAGCACTGGGAGCCGCTGAGGCAGGAGGATCGCAAGTTCAAGCCCAGCCTGAGCAATTTAGCAGTTTAGCGAGACTCTGTCTCAAAATAAAAAAGAAAGGGCTGGGATGTAGCTCAGTGCCAGGGCCTGAGCCCAGGATCCAGAGTCGTAAAAGCAAGCAGACAGAAACCCAGATGTGTCACTTCGTGTAAGGACACGGACATCCTCGGGGTTTGGTCTCTGTTCCCCGAGGGTGCGGTGGGGAGGTGAGCGCAGTGCAGCCTCATGCCTGCATTCATGTCGGTGTAGTGTGGGATTTTTTGCTGAAGGAGAGGATTCCTCCATAACCACCTATTTTATCTCATGGTATATTATGGGTATTTTCTTATACTAATAAATGTATCTGCTTAGTCATTTTAAATGGCTACAGAAGGCACATGCAGCAGTCTAATAAAGATTTCACAGTGTCTGGAGTCACAGTAGTGTACACGCTGCTATGTTAAGTGTCTTTCACGGTGTCCTTTTACGTTTCTTTGGGGTTCACTTGCGCAGATGTTGTGTAAATTTCTCAAAGTGGGGGTGCAGGGTGAAATGCCAGAGCACAGAAGAGTCGGCTGTGCTGCTCGGATATAACGGTCGGTACAGTTTGCAGTACGCTCGGGACGCGTGCTGATCCACACCTCACCCGTCCCTGCCACCTCTCCTGCAGCAGCCTTTCGGAGTCTTTTCATTATTTGCCATTCTGATGGCTGGAAGATAAATTTTGTTGTTGGCCATTTCTATTTCTCTTTCAGTGAATTTTTTTTCCTTTTGTTTTTATGGTACGGGGATTGAACCCAGGGCCGTCACACGAGCTACATCCTAAGCCCTTCTTATTTTGAAGCAGGGTCTTGCTGAGTCACTGAGTTGCTCAGACTGGGATCGAATTTGTAATCCTGGCTCAGCCTCCCAGAGTGCTGGATTACAGGCGTGCGCCACCACACCTGGCTTTCTTCAGTGAATTTCAAGAGCCCCATGTGTAAAAGGGATGTGGTTGCACATTATTTTTCTTTAATATTTGTGTTTTACTTTTGATCAGTAATTCTATTTCAATGCAGATACTTTGAACAATTAATCAAGCACACATTTTTTCTTTTTTTTTTTTTTTTTTTTTTTTTTTTTCTTTGGTACCGGGAACCGAACTCACGACGTTGCGCTTGCCAGGCAGGCGCACATTTTTTCTTTAAATGTCAGGTGAGCTTACCTTTTCCTAAGCTAGTGAGTGTACTAGAGGTGCAGACATTCGTAGCGAGACTTCTCTGAACGTGAGTCTGCAGTCGCGTTCAGCTGAGCCGTGAAGCAGCCAGGCGACGTTATTCTGACACCGGGGGTGGGGTGGCAGTGCAGCTGAGAAGCTGAGACTCTGGTCTGTTTCCAAATGAGGCGCCGAGTGAAGTCCCCAGCTGACACATGTCACACAGCCGGGTGATTGCGATAGTCCTGCCTCTCTTGGGACATACAGTGTCAGAGTGACAGGTTGATAATGTGTGGCATGTTGACTTTGAAATTTCAAGTTGTTTGTGGATGCCCTTCATGAACTGGTTGGGAAACCTGAGAAGTTTTCTCTTCATCAGACTCGTACTGTGAGCCCTGAGATTCCTAATTGTTAGTTTCATTCTGTGCCATCGGTGTCTGTGCGAGAATAAAGTGGGGAGCGCGTTCAAAGGCCCATCTGGATGATGTTCTAAATTATAAAAGCGGATGCTTGTTGTCCCCTGTGTGTGACCTGGGAGTGCTCTGGGGCGAATCTGGGTGAGGTAAGGTTTTAATGCTCTGTTTCTGTGAAGGTTCACATGGAACGGCGTGCTGCAGCACCCTTTCTGGAAGGGCACCCTCACGAGGGAAGCCAAGGAGTCGCGCGTGGAGGATTTCCCCGGCAGGTGTGCGGCGGTCGCGTGCCTGGGTGTGGTTCTCGCACTCGCGTGCCTGTTACCTTCGAGTAGCGCAGCATCACTGGCCTGAATTTCAGCGCTTGTAAAGCCATAAGCTGGTGTTGGTTTAACTAGAGTTTACGAGTTCGGTGCTGGTTTTGCTCATCTTTTGAGCAGCTGTCCTTTTCAGCCAGTGGTCTGCTGCGCTGGTGCTCAGCCCTCCTTACGGTACACCTGCTGGCTGCCTCCTAGGGGCCTGCGCCCTCCCCTCGGCAGGGCGGTGGCCTTGTGGCTGGCGCTGGCTCACGGAGCTTCCGCGGAGAAGCACTAGGAGCAGGCGGTCATTTGCCGTGTTGTAACTGGGAAGGAAAAGGCGAGAGTGAGCCACCCTTGGCCTGGCTCTCGAGGGACCCCCGCTGGGCTTTCTGCCCGGCTGCGCTGAGAGAGGTCGGAGGTCCTGAGGCTCTGAGGTGCGCTTAGCTCGTCCTGCCCAGCGGTCCTCAGTTGCAGTACGGAATCATGTCAGCCCCGCACACGGAGCCAGGCGAATGCGGTTGAATAGGGATGCAGGGAGGGGCGAGGGAGCAAGAAGAGCCGAGCCCCGGGGTTTGGCCTCGTGTTCTTGGGGCCACAGCTCTCCAGTCGGAGAATGAGCTCGTCTTGTTAGCATTTGGGGCTCAGCCCTCAGCTCTGCCGTGTCCGGGGCTGCGTCAGGGTTACCCGAGGCTGGGGGCAAATGTGGGCCTCTCCTGTGGCCTCTGCCCCTGCGGGAGCCTTTGCCATCCTGCGTCAGAAGCGGATGCCGCTCAGGTTCTCTGGCCTGCACATGCTGCGTTGCTGAGAGGCCAGGCCGGGCGCACTGGGGGCTGCACAGGGAGTCAGGCTGGAGCTGGGACGGTGCCACCTCTGCTCGGCTTCCCTCAGGAAAGGCCTGCAGACTCCACGCGGCGCCCTGTGTGTCAGAAGTGCTCTGCTTGATACCGAGGATGAATACTAGCTTTCTGACTTTGCCGGGCGTTGCGTATAATTTAGTTACCTTTCAAGCTACTGGTAGACGCAGACAACTCCGAGAGCTCAGAGTGAGTCCCGCTGTGCTGGCTCTCTCCTGTGCAGCAGCAGAAGCGCGAAGGAAGGTTCCAGGCCCCAGGACCCCAAGGTGCCTGCGCAGCACCCTCTGAGTGGCCGCAGTGCCAGGCCCAGGGCGGCTCAGCGACTCAGCCCGGTGCTCAAGCTCGGTGAGTGGCTCGGGCTGCTGTGGGCGGCGTCTGGCTGGGCCTGACGTGTGAGTGGACTCTCCTGTCAGATCCGCCTCTGGCTGTGGTCCGGACGATTGTCGCTTTATGGATAATACCTTGCTTTCCCGCTTCAGAAAACCAAGCCAAGTTGCGGCCCAAGAGCACTGCCGGGGGGCAGCTGAGCGAGTCCCTCTTTCTTCTCAGGTGCGTATGTCACATCCAGACGTGGTGAGGGCAGCAGCGAGAGAGGACAGTGAAACCCTCTTAAACCACCGGCTGTCCGGGGGCACCCGTTACCCAGAGGAGGAGGACGGGGCGCCGATGCCGCCTGACACGCTCACTGCATCTTCACAGCTACAGCTGTGCGCTGGCCAGTGGGCTCTAGATTCTGCTGTGTGATTAGCAATTACTCGTTTCCCCTACTTGTAAGTGTCGCGTCCTTTGCATTTTATGCTTTAACTTCAAATAAAAACGAACTGACAATTTCCACAGCCCAGCCTCTTTGTTTGGCTAAGGGCTTATAGGGGGACACGCTGTCCACTCCCAGCCTGTCTGGTGTCCAGGGCTGGGACTCTGTGGAGGCTCTCGGGCCTGCTGGGCAAGTGGTCAGCCACCAGGCTGTGTCCCTAAACCCCCAGTTTTTCAGTAAAATGCTTTTTAATGTGAAGCTTAAACGATGTTTATAATCATGAAAAGAATGAAAAAAAAATGAGGATGGTACGTTAAAGGGATCAGGATAAATGTGTAGAGAATTTAATACATAAACACTAAATATAGTTTTCAAAAAATTCCTTGGGTTGGGGTGTAGCTCTTCGGTAGAGCCCTTGCCTAGCATGCATGCAGTCAGGTCCCAAGCACTGCAAAAGAAAAATCTTATATAGAAGTAGTTTTATTTCATGAAATGGAGACTATAATGTGAAACTAAAGGTTCTTGATCTGTTTTACCCATACTTTAATGTAAAGTATGTTCAATTTATTTTTACAAATTTAAACCATTTAAAATTGACATTTAAAGACTCATCGCCACTGGTGTATGCTGTTATAGGCTATGTGGATGTTTAGTGAGTGAAAAGTGAGTGAAAGAAAGCTAAAATACTAATCTCAGAGAATGTAAGGGGAATAATTAGAAAGACTCTTAATTATCTAATGACAATGATTTTCTTGTTTGTGGTACAGGGGATTGAGCCACATCCCCAGCCCCTTTTTGGTTTTTTATTTTGAGGTAAGTTGCCCAGGCTGGGCTTGAACTTGTGATTTCTTTTTTGCCTCAGCCTCCCAGAGAGCTGGGGTTACAGATGTGCATCAACACACCTTGCTGGGAGGGTTTTTAAAGTATGAAAACTCAAAAGAAACTGAGGAATAGTGTAGCAGTCCATAGCTTATAGCAGACATTTATACATGTAAGAAGAATTTTTAAAAATAGATGCAGAATATAACTTGTCTAAAGTAGGCATGAAGGTAATTTCCCGTTTCGTATGTATCTTGGAATACAATTGTGAATGTTTTCCATTCTTTGTATTTCATGTTTTATTACATTAGTCTTGCCTATACCAGGAGACACTTAAAAATACTAAAATCAGTGTATTAAGATTTCCAGTTAAAAAAGAAAATATATGTCATAGAAGACTGAAAAAAAAGAAGTAACAGTCAGGGAGTTGTTTCAAAAATTACAGTGTTATCTAAACACAAATTAGAGTTGAAACTTTCCTATGTGAGGTCATATGCAATTACCATATTTTACCGTGTTGCACAATACGTGTTTTTTCCAGAAACTAGTACACAGAGGATGAGGTTTCGGGAATCTGAATGTCTTGTGGTTACTTCTCAGTTCTCGTCCGACCCCAAGGACCAGCACTGCTGTGGGGCTGAGCCCTAGACAGGATGGGACTCAGACTTCACCACAGAAGGCCTCGGCCTCGGCCAAGGTGGGCAGCGATGGAGTTGTTTTTTCTGTGCAAGATGTAGAGACTCCCCCAGATAATTACAAGCTGATGTATGAATTGTGTTCACAATCTCAAGATTTACAGCAGAGGTATCTTCCCTGAGCGTCACTTGATTCCTAGTAAGGACTGTAAAGGTGAGGTCCCATGTAGTTGCTCTTTTGGTAGCAGCTTCCTTGAGATATAATTGACACGAGCTACAATTCACCCATTTAAAGCATGCGGTCGGGGGCCTTTGCCCTATTCAGAGACGCGTGACCTTCCCTCAGGCAGGGGGAGCAGCTGCAGCGTGTGGAAGCCCTGTACCACGGCCGTCACCCCATCGCCCGATTCTTCCTACCTCGTCCTGAGCAACCAGCAGTCTGCTTGTCTGTTCTGGATGGTTTAGACAAGTGGAACCACGCAATATGTAGTCTTTTGTTACTGGCTTTTTAATTTAACAGAATGTTTCTAAGATTCATCTGAGCTGTAGCAAGCAGCATCAGTACTACATTCCTTTTTATTCCCAAATAATACTCTTACTGTGTCCTACGTCTTTTTTGCATTCATTCATCAGCGGACAGATATTGGGGGTATGCCTGCCACTTGGCTGTATTAAAAACACTGCTGTGAACATCTTTGTGCATGCGTGTGCGAGGTCTGTTTTTACTTCTGTTGGGTGTGTACATAGGAGTGCCCTTGCCTTGTCAGATTGGACCGACTTGTGACTTCCTGAAGGGCTGCAAATTGCTTCTCAATATAGCTGCTCCATCTTACATTCTCACCAGTAGTGTGTTCAGGGTTCTGATTTTTTATATCCTCACCAGTGTTTGTTGTTTGTCTCTTTTAACACATGGTGGTACATGAGTGACTGTCCCTCTGGGTGGTTTATACCATTGGTGATAGAAACAGATCTAATGACTTTTATTGGTCTTTCTCCTAATAAAATTAATGAAAAGCCACCGGATGGGACAGTCTTGCATGTACCACTGGAGGCTCAGGCTACCCAGCAGCAAGACATATGAATTATGGCTCTGTCGTGCACGTGTTAGACTGCAGTATGTAGGTGCCACAGGTGTGGGTCAGTGGTAGAGCTCTTGCTTAGTGTGTATAGGGCCTGGGTTCCATCCCTAGCATCACGCACACCCAAGAAAGTTGTGGCAAAATAGGTACAGTGGCACCTTGCTTCACGAACCTAATTTGTTCGACGATTCTGGAAAAGATGGCCACGTTGTGTTTGTGTGGTAAAGGTGGCTCTGGTTGTGCTCAGCACCAAATGCAGAGTTTGCAAACAGAAGAAAAATTTCGCCAAATTTTACTGTTTGTGAATGAAACTATTCACAACAGGAGTGTTTGTGAACCGTGGTACCACTGTATAACTTAAAATCTACTATTTTAACCACTTCTAAGTGCACAGCTCTGGCATTAAGTACGTTTGCATTGTTGTGGAACCATCACTGCACCCACCTCTGGAGCTTGTTCAGCATCACAAAGTGAAACTACGCACCGAGTCTGTCAGCCTCTGTCTTCAAGGATCAGCCATGCCAGGGCATGTGCTAGAATTTCACTCATTTTTAAGGCTGAGTAATGCCCCGTTTTGTTTACCTGTCTTCTGTTGATGGATACCTGGGTTGTTTCCGCCTTCCAGCTGCTGGGATTGGTGCTGTGTTGTCTGACTTTCTGGTGGGAGCCATCCTCTTCAGCATCAGAGTCTGTCTCATTTGTGGTATGATTTGCTGTCTCGCGATGGCTATGATATTGAGAATCTTACAGAACTGTTGGCCATTTGCCTGTTGCTGTTAGAGAAATGTCTGACCAAATCCTGTGGGTTTTTAATGTTGTTACTGAGTTGTAGGGGTTTTCACCTGTCCTAGAGAGATGCTTTTTTGTTGTTGTTTTGGTTTTTTTTTTTTGAGACAGGGTTTCACTGTGTAGTGCGGACTGGTCTTGAACTCATAGTGATCCTCCTGACTCAGCCTGCCAAGTGCTGGGATTATAGCTGTGCGCAACCACACCTGGCCCTCTAGAGAGATGATTTGTAAACATTTTCTCCTTTCCGTGGCTGTCTTTTCACTTTCTCCTTTCTTGTTTTGTGGAGCTGGGCGTTGAGCCCCAGCCTGTGTGTGCCAGGCAAGTGCTGCCACCCTGAGGAGCCTCCCTGCTCCTCAGCCTTGTCTTTTGTGATGGGCTCTTTTGAAGCACAAGTTTTCATGTTGATGTAGTCCAGGTTATCTTTTTGTGTGTGTTTGTACTTGTGCTTTGGGTGTGGCATCTAAGAAGCCACTGCCCACTCCAAGGCCACAAGGGCTTGTGCTTGTGGTTCCCTGCAGCAGTTTTGTAGCTTGTGCTCATACAGTAGGTCGTTGGTCCGTTTGAGTTTGTGTTAGTGTGGGCCGTGAGGTAGGGATCAGCTTTGTGTTTTACGTGTGGATCTCCAGTTTCCACAGTGCTGCTGTGGGGGGGTTGTTCCATCCCCGTTGTATTGTCTCACCTCTCTTGGGGGAAATCAGCAGGTTGTAAATGTGTGCGTTTCTTTCCTGGCTAGGTTCTGGGGGTGTATCTGTCTCTCCCTGTGATATTAGCATGCTTCCTAGACTACTATCACTCTTGTAAAGCTTTTGTAACTTTGAAATATGGTATGATTCCTCAACTTTGTTCTTTCTTAAGATTGTTTTGGCTATTCCAGGTCCTTTAGGGTGGGCAGCACTCACATCCAGGGTGGGCCCTGCCATCATCCACACCCAGAACTATGCCAGTAACCACACACCCCTGGCCCCAGTGTCACACACTCACAATCCAGCCCTGTCTGCAAAGCCCATCTGTGACGGCATGAGGCTTGGGAAGTACGTCTAGACGCAGCCATGACACTTGCCAAAGCAAAAACTGATTGTGTTTTGGTATTTGTTTTTTTTTCATATTTGTTCTTCTGGTTTGATGCATAATGTTTACTTTAAGCAAAGGAATAAGTGTTAATTTTTTTCATGATTTTGATCTCATTGTGATTATTGATCACGTAGCTTGGCTCATGTGGAGCATCCTTTATCCTAAGGCTGAGAGCGTTAGAAAACAGATCTACACAATACTCATGTTCCTGAGGATTACATCTATTTATCTTTGCTGTTGTGAATGGTATGTTAAATTGTGATAATTCATTATTTGTGCATTTGCTCAGTTTGGCTATAGGACCTTCCTACGTAGGAATTTTCTAAGTGGACCCCTTATTAATTCTGGTATTGTTTCTAATAATTCTTCAGGTGGGTAATTTTGGTTTTCTGACTAAGGTATAGCACCTGCATGTAAAGATAACTTGGCCGCCTCTTTCTTAGATGTTGCTCTTACTTTACTTTGTGGACCAGTCTCACTAACCCCGTGTCAGTGGCAGGGGCATCCCCCTTCGCTCTGCTAGGTGCTTCTTCCTGCTGCCCATGCCCACAGGCCCGATCCCCACCAGCCTGCTGCCTCCTCACTCCGTGGCTCCCAGCAGTCCGTTGTCAGAAGCCAGCACGACTTTTTAAAAGTCATTAAACTCTCCTCTCTTGGGCAGTGCTGGGCATTGTTTCAAATGCTGTGTACTTACTCTTCAAATTTTGAAATGTTTTTGCTTTTAATCTTTATTATGATGCAGAAAGCAGGCTCTAAGTTTCTTAAGGTTGTGTAGTTAATAAATGGCTATGTCAGTCTGGTTTCTGTCTTGAAAATCCATGTTCTTAAACTTACTGTTTTTCAGCACCCTTCCCTGTTCATTCTTTGTGCATGTGTATCCACTTTTGTCTATGTTGCCAGTGCCTGTCTCTGTTTCTAGGCCCTTCATTAGCTAGCTTTTCTGTTACTGTGTCCATGTCCCTTTGATTTCTTGTTCTCATTCTTTTCTTCACTATTAGTTTTCTCTTTTATTAAGGTCATTAATGCTTATTTAAATTTTAGTTTATAATGTTTAAGTCTTCTTTTTTCTCCAATGTGAAATGCTTAGGCAGAGCAGTAGGAATAAAGATTCTAGTTAAGTAGAGCGCGCGCACGCGCGCACACACA